ATAAATATGCAAAGTTTTAAATTACTAGTAAATATAAAAGAATTACAAGATTTACTACTTTTCATTTTGAAAATGTGACATTACGAAGCCCTTAATTTTTGAGATGTCTAGTTCCTGTTAGCGACTCTTTTAATTCCTATGGAAGTAAAGGAATCGTGTTTACTGTAATAAAGTCTGATCCTTATACATGAAATTTTCAATAGTTAACACTCGAATTTTTTTGAAAAAGGCATCTTTTCTGCTAATCAGTAAAATCTAGAACAACTTCGACAAGTAAAGCTGGTTTTTCGTAAGTATTTACACAACTGTTGAAAAAAATAGTCTTATAGGTTGTAAATCAACCATGATTTTCTAGTTTTACATATATCAAGTTTTACATTATTAATGTGAACCCCTACTAGACTGTTTCACCAAAAAAAGAGAGTCTGATTTCATATCTGTGTCTGTACCTGAAGGTTGTAGTCCTGTAGTATCTTCACTAATGAATCTCTCAGTCCTGGGATTTCCATGCCTTGAGGTATTTCTCGAATGAGAATAATTGGGTCAACATGTGTTCCAATGTTTTGCAAAAGTACTGTAATGAAGTCTGAAAAATAGCATGGATAGCAAAGTCATTACATTCTTAAACCACAGCGGGCCTCAAACTGAAATAAAGCTTTACGATTATGAAACTATTTCAACACTGAATGAAAGGCATAAATATAATAAGACATTTATTATAAAATTGTAGTATTGTCAGAAACTGAACAGTTCATCGTTAAATAGATTGTTGAGATGAACACTATTTTTGTGTCATACAACAATTGACTCTGAAATATGTAGTCATTTCTAGTCTTGTATGCAAGTTAGTGTCAACAACAGTTAAAGCCTCAAAACTTGCCAAAGCGAATAAAACAAAAGTCAAAGTAGCTTTTATAGTAAATTGTTATGAAGTTTGGTGTAAGAATTAGTTGAGGTTGAGAGAGCAGCCGACTTTTGGTCAGTCTCTAAGGGAATAGTGGATTACAGTAATTAGTCGTTAAAGAATTATTGGAGGGATCAGCTGCCTTTCTTATTTAGCTGCTGTAAAGACTACAGAACCCCCCCTAGGATTATAAAACATCATAATCTGGTAAAAGGAAAACAGGTGTGTTTGACATGGTCGTTGGAGAAAGGAATATAAAAGACAGGGATTTAACAGAAGAGATGGACTACAGGAAATGTGAGAGCAAATAAATAAACTGAAAAAGAGACAAAGGAAAGAAGAAAGTGACATGCTGCTAATAAGAAACAAAACTTATGTGTTTGACAATAATGATAAACAGAAAATTATTTTTAAAATTGGTATGAGTCAATTCCT